GTGAGCTAGCCAACACAGGCACCGTGTTCGGCGTGTAGATACCCAGTCTACCATTACCAATCTCGTCGTAGATCAGACCTCTCAGTCACCTTAGTCCTTACCATCGACATTTTTTTGAAGTCTGTGCAGCACATGCACAGTGGCAGACTGGCACTGCACTGGCAGCAGTGCAGAGCTACATGTAGCACGGATAGGACTGGTCGCACAGATTGAAGCCTGAAAGACTAGTGAAGGAGCTGAAGTGATAATGTCTAATGAACTTGAAGGATGTCGCGTCAAAGCGACACGCGTCGACGCCTAGGCGCCTACACACTCGATATGCATGGCGATCATGCCATGATTCATACAGCGATCGGGAGCGCCTCCAGTTTTCGGGAAGACATGGCGGACTTTCCCCGTCACGGCCATGATGACGCCATGAGCACCCAAGGCTAGTGTAAATCTACATCAGATTCAGTGTCATAATCATATTCATACTATTCATACCGTGTCATGCAATGAATAAAAACTATAATTATGTGCACTCATGTCACAACCATAGCGACGAATAAAATATTCCTTTTCCAGAATGTTTTCTTGTCACAATTGTCAATGGAATTTGTAAAGAGACTGATGAAACTACAAATTAGGATTTAATTTTATAGTTTTATACCTTTGGAGTGAAAAAACGAGGATACAAGAAGAATAGTACCAAGAGTCCATAAACTGTTTATGCACTCTTGATAGTACGCATACAAGAATAGTGATAAAAGTAGCACAAACTTCGGAAAAATTGCTATGGTTAACCGGTTAACCGGTTGTGATATGAGTGCACATACACACAATGTACATGTATAGTTTTATTCATTGCACTATTTTAAATTAAAAGGCGACGCGGAGACACTAATCTTAAAAGATTAGTGTCTCTGCGTCGCCTTTTTACATGTCGTGTACTTTGGATTTCCATTCATCTTTCCAGATCAGGTACCGGTAATCATGGATTTTTCAATAATAGAATACATGACATGTATTGATGCTTTGAATAGTATGCGTATGATCAAGTGTTTGTTCACCTATATTTTTTTCCCTTTTTGGTTTTGCTTTCTTTCTCTTTTTCTCCCCTTCTCTTCTGGTATCATGTCTAACATTGGGTGCGGCCCAAGCGAAGGCTAGGCTAATGCCGATGCCAACGCGAAAGGGCTGATGATGATGTATTGATATAGTTCTTTGAGAATCTGTACCATCAAGAGTATGATACCAACCCCCCCCCCCCCCCCGGGTTATTATACTCTTGGTACCATGTGTACCACCCCCATTACTGTGACAAAAGAGTATTACTACAGTATTTTCACTGGAACCCACCTGAAGGGTGCCAGGTAGACCGAAGACCGGACCACCGGGGAGTGCCCCGTAGCTTCGGTGTCCAGATAACCGTACGGGTGCACTTTATAACCAAGCTACTGGAGCATGTAGCCAGTGTGCTGACAGTGCTCAACACCGCGGAGGCAGTGCGTAATACAGAACAACAAGGATGGCTTGTTAAAGGGGAAGTTAAGGCAAAAATTAAAATTTCACCAGTTGTAGTCTTCGGGGTGCTGAGTCGAATGGTCGTGGTCCGAGGAAGCTGAGACGCTCCCTTCCTACTTGAATCCCAATCGAACTCGCGCACTTCCACCGAAACTAGGTGACTGCGCCCTACTGGATGGGGATTTGTATGCAAAATGTCACTAAAAGCGCCATTTCGTTCTTATAAAAGCACGGATGACCGCGATTGGCCCATATATTGTAGTCTTTTGGACGCTGAGTCGACTGGTTTTGGTCCGAAAAGGCTGCGATGCAGCGTTCCTCCTTTATTCCCAATCGAACATGGTTGAACAAGCGGTCACGTGCTCCTGCGTACGCCAGTCACCTGGTCACCGTGCCTGCAGGGTACAACTTACTAGCCTGTTTGACCTTTTTTGGGTGCAGTCCTGTCACTCGAGTTGAACCTTGGTGTGAAAGTTGTCGCCTGCTGGCGTGGTGACCAGGTGATTTGGGCATCCAGGAGCACGTGACCGCTTGTTTAACCATGTTCGATTGGGAATAAAGGAGGAACGCTGCATCGCAGCCTTTTCGGACCAAAACCAGTCGACTCAGCGTCCAAAAGACTACAACATATGGGCCAATCGCGGTCATCCGTGCTTTTATAAGAACGAAATGGCGCTTTTAGTGACATTTTGAATACAAATCCCCATCTAGTAGGGCGCAGTCACCCAGTTTCGGTGGAAGTGCGCGAGTTCGATTGGGATTCAAGTAGGAAGGGAGCGTCTCAGCTTTCTCGGACCAAGACCATTCGACTCAGCACCCCGAACACTACAACTGGTGAAATTTTATTTTTTGCCTTAACTTCCCCTTTAAGGTAAAAATCAAAATTTCACCAGTTGTAGTCTTCGGGGTGCTGAGTCGAATGGTCGTGGTCCGAGGAAGCTGAGATGCTCCCTTCCTACTTTAATCCCAATCGAACTCGCGCACTTCCACAGAAACTGGGTGACTGCGCCCTACGAGATGGGGATTTGTATGCAAAATGTCACCAAAAGCGCCATTTCGTTCTTATAAAAGCACGGATGACCGCGATTGGCCCATATGTTGTAGTCTTTTGGACGCTGAGTCGACTGGTTTTGGTCCGAAAAGGCTGCGATGCAGCGTTCCTCCTTTATTCCCAATCGAACATGGTTGAACACAAGCGGTCACGTGCTCCTGCGTACACCAGTCACCGTGCCTGCAGGGTACAACTTACTAGCCTGTTTGACCTTTTTTGGGTGCGCTACTGTCACTCGAGTTGAACCTTGGTGTGAAAGTTGTCGCCTGCTGGCGTGGTGACCAGGTGATTTGGGCACCCAGAAGCATGTGCACCACAGCCTCACACCAATTGCGTAATCAGTGCATCACTGCCTCACGCCAAGCTAAAAAGTTATAAGTGTACCACTGCCTCACATCCCAGGAGTTGAAATCAAGCGCACGGGCCATCCGTTGCCATCAAGGACACAAAGAGTACAAAAAATTAGAAATGCTCAGAGACATTTCAGGAAGAGGCCAACAACACACAGGCAGACAAAATAGCAACACTCAGGAACAACGAAAAAAGATAATAAAAAATATCAGCTACAATTGAGAATAAAATTATACTAAGATTGTTGGAAAGTACTTGACAGCTTTCAACTCTCTCCAAGCACTGGAATTTGGACTAGTTTGTACGTGATTTTCACGAGCGAAACCAAAGAGACGCCAGGGGATTTTTTACAAGCTAAACCTAAGAGATTCCCGAGGATTTTCAGAAGATAAACCAAAGAGGTGTCGGAGGATTTTCACAAGCTAAACCAAAGAGATGTCAGAGGACGTCCAGCATTACAAGGGGTGAGTACTGTACCATCAATGAGGACGAGTCTCACGGGTAGAAAGTTCACAGGCACAATCCACACTGGCCAGTGGGAGTGACAAGGATGCTCGTTGCAGTGCAATGGCCGGCCACGCAGACACGCACACAGGCATACCAGCAGCGTCGTCCTTCCACCGAGTTGGGTAGGTGCGTCCACCGAGGGTTTGAGTAGCTCTCTGAAGGATGGAGTTAGAGTCTTGATGTAGCCGATGAGCTGCAGAGTCCACACAAGACCACGCACGCACACACACACACACAAACACACACACGCACACACACACACGCACACACACACGCACACACACACACAAACACACACACACACACACAAACACACACACACACACACACACACACATATACGAGCTGTCAGGCAAGAAGTAACACAAACAAACATCAGACCGGTCGCGAGCTCCACTTGCCAGTCAAGACGGAGTACATGTACTCCCTCTGGCTACTTTCTTGGGCTTCTGAACAGTACAGGTGAATATGCATGAAGACAGCAAAGAGGATACGTCTCCTACCATTCCCTTGCGTGCTTACTGTACACTTTCTATGTAACGCAACTGCACACTAACAGTACAAACTGTGTAAAAAATAGCCGATAGGGTACCCGTGCTACCCGGCCATAAACTTCACATATTTGCTCACCTCGCAGCCAGGTCAACGTACGCACCCGACAATACCACAGATCCGCTCTCTACAACCTGCAAGGACAAGTCAAATACATCAATACACAAACAATTAGCAGACGAGAAAATCCAATCAATGAGTATGGAGAAAATGAAGCAAAAGGAAATTCCTAAAACTCGGCATTGCGCGCACATCGATCGATCGATCGATCGATCGATCGATCGAGAGAGAGAGAGAGAGAGAGAGAGACACTAGCGCTATCTTTTAAAGTGCTATTCGGTCTATGCTCTGACCGCCAAATATGCTGTTTGCGCCACTAGCGCTATTTTTGTCAATGCTCTGCCCGCCAAAAGTACCGGTTATTAGGACTTGCTTACTACCTTGTTAATCACTATTGTATTCGACCTGAAGAGTAATGGAATGAAAGGCCTAGTCGAAAAAATTTATATGGCTTCTGTGCTTCGTGTGCTGAGAGAGAGAGAGAGAGAGAGAGAGAGAGAGAGAGAGAGAGAGAGAGAGAGAGAGAGAGAGAGAGAGAGAGAGAGAGAGAGAGAGAGAGTGGAGGGAGGGAGGGAGAGAGAGAGAGAGAGAGAGAGAGAGAGAGAGAGAGAGAGAGAGAGAGAGAGAGAGAGAGAGATGGAGAGCGGCGGACTTACTGAGCATCGGAAGTAGACACGGCTGCCCTCCTTCCACATTTCTGTCTTGAGCGTTTGACCGGGCAGGACAGGCTTGACAAACCTCACCTGTGCGCACAATCAGAATACACACACACAGTTAACATAATTTCTATTTCATTGTACAGCGGAGAGAAATGGACCCATGCTTCACAGTGAGCAGTGCAGTGTGCCATGTATACATGTAGGCACAGACATGCAAGCATGCACACACACACACACACACACACACACACACACACACACACACACACACACACACACACATACACACACACACACACACACACACACACACACACACACACATACACACACACACACACACACACACATACACACACACATACACACACACACACTGTACTTGCTCACTGCCAAAACTGGTCACGTGGGTCTCCCCGGGAGAGGGGAGAGAGACTCCAAAGGAATCTTGGAAAGATGACTCAATTGGCCATTGAACCACCCAACGGCCGACACCCCCTGAAATCCCCAAACTAGGGTGGACTTGAAATGATCCCACTTATGGGCTCACCACACCTCAGTAAGTGGGTGAGGACAAGGTGCAGAAAAAGGATTGACGGCATCAGGGTATCCGTCCCGGGATCCAACTGCAGTTACCCCTGCCCCCAGTGAAGGTAATACTTGGTACTAGTGTGGGTGGCTAAATCAGAGTGGATCTGATAAAAGCTTCACTAGCACCATTGATTACACAAGAGTTTATCTAGCCAGAAGTAGTCCATGGTTAACAGGTATGTATACTTCAAATAGAAAGTATATGAACCCTGAAACCAACAAAGGTGGTAGGTACAACAATACACCTTCAAGCAGCCGAGCCCGTTGGCAACAGGCCCAACACTATCTGGCATAAGTGTACCCACCAACCGAACTAGCTGGCAACACACACACACACACACACACACACACACACACACACACACACACACACGTGATGCTCTCGACTGACCTTGAGTGCCTTGAACTTTGTGACGTCATCGTCGCAGTATTGGCGCAGTACATGCCGTGCAGCGTATCCCATTGAGCAGAGGCCGTGCAGGATAGGTGTGGAGAAACCTGTGCCACAGCCATAACAAAATACACCAGTATAAACATAACATAAATACAGAGGCACGTAGGGATATGTGCATTGACAGATAACCAGACGGATGGGCAGACGGACGGGCAGACAAACAAACAGACAGGCAGACAGACGGACGAGCAGACAGACAGACGGACTTGTACTTGATAACTGCCAGAAACCTGAAATCCTTGGACTCTTTTCAGACAGACACATGTGCTGACACCCCCCCCCCCCCCCCTGCACACACGCACCCACTCACCCACCCAGGCATATACTCAGAAAGGCAGGAACAGAGGCGAGAGAGTACTAACTTAGTATGCGACATTGGCAATCTGATCAGTCAGATTCCTAATAATCTTGACACAGGTGACCCAGTGAGATGCATCTAACAAAGATTACAAAAAAAGGTTGTAGGAGATGCATGCACTTGAAGCAGCATGGATTTCCTTGCAGCAAGAAATAAAGCCATGAGATGTTTCACTGCTCAGCAAGTGATGCAGAGCAGCTCCACACACACCATCCTTTACTTCCTGTACAGGCAGAAAATTTAGTCGGTCAATAATTTCGTCAAACTCCAAAGAGTTCGTCTGGTTGAAAATTTAGTCCATGGACCATAAGAGTGTATTGAAAAGCTGGACAAAATCGACATTTTAGTCCGGCATTTAATTTAGTCCAAAAGTTCTTTAGACGAAAAGACGAAATTAAATTCCAGACGAATATTTCTGCGTGCACAGTAACTGTATGTCTCTCGGCCCGACTCTCTCCCATTATACAATACGATACTGTACCCTCCCAGAGCACATGCACTGTGAGAGCTAGCTTACCGCCCATGGCTGCAAAGTCTGGGTCGATGTGCAGTGGATTCAGGTCCCCGCTGAGGCGGTAGAGGGCAGCCTGCGATTCACTGGTCTTTTCTGTAACAACTGCGTCTGGACTACGCTTAGGGGGGTCGGCGGTCGGCTGCTCACAGACACACACAAAGCAGAGAACAGAAACTAAGTTAATTTAATTAATTTATTAAGACAAGAAAAAAATTCACCTGACAAGAAGGCCTAAAAGGCAGTGAAAGCATACTCGTGAAAACCTTCAACATGTTGCTGAAGATCCTGAATTGTGTCCTTTTTCGAAGTATTACAGAAAGAAGCAGCAACTTTACCACTCTGGGGAACACGTTTCACTACAATGAAAGCGACGGCGTCCACATTCACAGCTGCTGGTGCTTGACAATTGATTCAACTAAATCCTTCTCAATACGAACTTAGAAGTTGCGACTTCGGCGGTAATAGTCATGAAGTGTCAAGTTCGGCAAGAAGCGTGTGCTCCTCGTTGGAGCAACCAACTTCATAAATCCTTCTCCTTAAAACAATTAAGGTAAAGACTGTTCCCACCAGCCATACCGTACCTTCTGGTGTGCTGAGCTGCGAGGTCCTCCAAAGCCACCGGCACCAACGATGAATGTGACAAACTGAGCAGTTGCCACGAGCTGGTCGTCCTCACCGAAACACTCCACTGCAGAAGAACACACAGCGCATATGAGTACATGCATGATACACACACACACACACACACACACACACACACCCAGACTGTACAGATCTACTCATTTTCTGTAGGGAATAATTAACTGGTGGGTCATTTGGTCTCTCTCTCTCTCTCTCTCTCTCTCTCTCACTCTCTCTCTCTCTCTCCCCCCCTCTCCCTCAGGGGCGTAGGAAGCAGTTTAATATTGGTGCGGCGAAATTGTGAGAGGGGGTTCGGGGGTCCTCCCCTGGGGATTTTTTTTGAAAATTGGGCCTAAAAGGCCATATTTTAATGCTACAGAATAATATGAGAAATAAGAATATGCATGCTGATGATACACCGCATTGTCGATGTAAAACATGGTACCTGTACAAGAGTCGACAAGCCATCAACAAGGTTGAAATGTAAAAAATAAAATAAAATAAAAATTCGAAAATTATTGGTCCGGCGACCACCGGGCCTGCCGGACCGGTTCCTACGCCCATGTCCCTTACAGGCAAAGCACCATCGTTTGTCTCTATTCATGGTGATCAGAAGCCGGAAGGATGGAAAGTCTTGCGGAATAAATGGCTCTATCCTTCGAAGTTCGTATCATGCGCCCAACATGTGTTACCCACCGATTAGCCACCACCATACAACATTTCCGCAACACCTTCTCGTGAGCAAAGCGTGCTGCCAGTCACAGCCGGAATTATACTGAACTTGGCGTGAACTTCTTTCTTACCGTCCTGAACGATAACTGCACCCTTGCCCTTGTCGATGAGATCACGAATGCGACTCTGACAACGCAGCTTGCCTGAATCAAGACACGTGTACATACACGTGCACACAAACACGTGCACACACACACATGCATACAAACACGTGCACACACACACGCACGCACACAAACGTGTGCACACACACACACAGATACACACAGACACATGCAGACACAGACACACAATAGGCAACATTGCACATTTACGTTATCCTGGATAAACGAGTATCTCTGCTCACTGAAATGCAGATCACTCAAGGCACATACCGTAATTACACCTGTACAGCCGATGACAGAGAAACCATGACAAATCCCTCGGGTTGGTGCTGCGCTCAATGCGAAACACACACAAAAAGAGCGCTCAGTCGCCTGCCCTTGCCAAGAAACCTCAGTGATTTTCTTGTTGGCACACACATAGACACAGACACGCACACACATAGACACAGACACGCACGCGTGCACATCCACACCCACACGATTGGAACAGCGTGAGAGGTCGTACCTGAAGTCGGCATGGGACGATGCATCTCAATATGTTGCTCTCCATGAAGCAGCTACCACACAAACAAACACACACAAACACACACACACACACCATACACACGCGCGCGCACACACACACACACACAAGCACTCTTGCACACACACACACAGACACACACACACACACACACACAGACACACACACACACACACACACAGACACACAGACACACACACAGACACACACACACACACACACACAAGCACACACACAAGCACACACACACACACACAAGCACTCTCGCACACATACACACACACACATGAACGCATGCGCAATGCAGTGAGAAGAATACAACATTAGAGGATGCACTCACCATACTCACCCACACTCATATACGAGCAACAAATTTAATAACTGTTTCACAAAGATACTTCATGTCACACAAATCTTAAGTTAACTACCGTATTTCCCCGTAAGTAAGTTCTCCCCAATGACTTAGTACCCCCTATAAAAAATACACTTTCCACTGCCGAGGTTATCACCCCGAAAGACAGTTCCCCCCGAAAGATAGTAAGTTCGTACCCGTCCTACATGTACAGACACCGTACAGTACATACATCATATGCACGGACACTAGAGTTGCGCAGGCTTCCCACTGCGTGTCATTTACCCCCGATAAAAAAGTACTCCCCGAAAGATAGTACCACCCCCGAAAGTTAGTACTCATGTGGCTGCTAAGTTCGAAAGTTAGTACGTACTAACTTACGGGGAAATACGGTACTATAAAATCCTCTTGATCAACCAGTCAAACACCGGGTCACACTACCATACCTGGCAACCATCCCTATTTGGCCGGGACAATCCTGATATCGAGGGTGGTAACAGGCACCCAAAAGTACATTAGTTGCACGCCTCACAGCTACAGTTCTATACATGTTCATACATGTATATATTTTATTTATTTATTTTATTTATTTTATTTATTTTATTTTATTCCAAGCAATACATGGCTGGGGTAGCCAATGACCACTTTGCGTGGCGATTGCAGGGTTTTCATAGCCAACCACGTGTTGCGTGATGATTGCGAGAGCATGAAACTTGAAGTAGAAGCAGCAGCAAGCAAGCCTTGATTGTCCGTGTTGTTCTCTTCTATACATGTTCATATCTAGGTATGTCATTGTAGCTATCTCAAGTGTGCAATGGTTGGCAGGGTTTTTATTTTTTTTAAATTTTTTTACTAGAGCCACGTAAACCCGTCATGTGTGACCCATGAATAAGGGGAGTGGTATGCAGTACTGAGTTAGCAACAGAATGCAACAACGGCACAGTACCGGCAACTCCCAGGCTAGGCAAGCCCAGCTATTTCCGGCGGGTGGGGTCCCTACCTTGGAGAAGTCAAACTTGAATCCGGGAATGCCTTCCGTGATCATGCCGGTCAAGCTGGCCTAGA